TCTTTACAACTTCAACCCCAAGAAAAACCTAACCAAACCAAACAAGCAAACAAACCTTAAAAAAAAAAAACACCCAAATCACAAGATCGATCTCAACAACAAAGGAAGCATCAAAGATGGCATATGTGGATCATGCATTCTCAATAACTGATGAAGATTTAATGGTGGAGACTTCATATACAGTCAATAATAAGCCACCGATTAAAGAGATTGCTCTTGCTGTTGCTCTTCTTGTTTTTGGTGTAGTTGGTATTGTTTTGGGTATTTTTATGACTTACAACAGAGTTGGTGGTGATAGAGGTCACGGTAATTTCAATTTCTTTGTTTTCTTGTTATTTTTGGATTTTTTATGTTTTGATTTGTGAAGTTAAAGTTTTGTGCTTTTTTGGTTAGATTTGAATGCAAAATAAAAAACCATTTTGATTTTTTTCCTGAATATCTGATTTAGTTGGTTTTTTTATGTGAGGGAGTTTTGTGATTTTTTGCTTATTTAGCTGAGGGAATAAATGAAAAGTTAGAAACCCAGTTCAGTTTTTACCGGAATTAAAAGATCCCTAATTTAGTTATTCAGTTTTTAAGGCGGGTTCCTGCAAAACTGGGGCATTAAATCATATGTTTTATTTTTTGATTTGGGGATTTAAAGAAGGAAAGAAAAAAGATTTTAGGGATTTTTTGTTTGTTTTAGAAGTTGTAGACCGGTTTTTTTTTTTTTGTAAGTTTTGTGACCGAGAAGTGATTTGAAATGAATTTTTGTGATTGAATCAGGGCTTTTCTTTGCGATATTGGGAGTGGTTCTGTTTATTCCAGGGTTTTATTACACAAGGATTGCATATTTTGCGTATAAAGGATACAAGGGCTTCTCTTTCTCCAACATACCACCTGTGTAATTGATGATAAACGAGCTCAACAAGCTGGAATCCTGTCTCTACGCGCATGTACATATCGTTCGAGTTGTACTTCTTCTTTAATGTGCCTTCTTGTGTTTTTTTTTTAATAATTATGTGCTGTAGATGCTAGTTTCCTAAAGAATTGATCTGTCATGTGATGTGATTGGATTGTTTTTCGTGATTGGATTGTTTTTCATGTGTACGAAGGATGAAAACATAGCACTTACAATTTTTAGTTTCAATTTCTTTCACGAGGCTTGAATCTTATTAAGCTTGATCCTGTACACCGAATAGGCGAATGTGTATTATCTAAGAGTTTTGGCATGAGTGATCTATCTCCTGTCTTTCATGATGCTCAGATCTCATCTAGATTGCTTAAATGCTTATCTGGAAACTTTGTGGCTTGGACTTGAGGCAATTGATTAACATGGTTCCTTTTTTGTTCGAGATATAACATCAGATGAAAACCCTACCACAGGCTTGGAGGATGGTGTGTGATGAATTACTGTTACATATAGAAATTTTTCCGGTGGAGAACCCTGTGTTTTATATAACGTTGTGGATCTATTTATTCGTAACATGTCATGGTTTTTGCTTTGTGTTGTAATGCCCTTCTTTTATGCCCAGGGACTGGTCAACTATTAGAATTTAAATGCAAGGGGCTCAATATGTAACACAAGCTTTCTATATTTCTTATGTTTGAAAGAGGAACACAGAAAGCCCAAAGTAGTGACGAAGACTAGCTGTTTGTTGGTGTTCAAAAGTTGGAGTCTCTACTAGAAAAATTCTATGTTTTGAATATTTTGCCTCCTAAATATTCGTGTATGATATTTAGGTAGATAACGTTCCGAGGACTTGGCCTTACATGACTTTCTTTACAAAATATGGCTATCATTTGGAAGCTTCAGGTGGGATTTTCTTGGTTTCTTCGGCCGGAAATGTTAGGTTCAGCAAAGCTTCAATTCATGCTATCAATGCCTCGTTAATTTTCGCTCGTAGATGGAACTTGGAAGGTGCAAAAATCATGGTTGGAGACTTGAGCTGGTGGATATGGTAATAGTTTTTGTGTTCTAGGGGCGCTCTAGATCACGGTAGGGGTTGTAAATGACTGGTTCTCTAGTGTTATAATCCTTGTTCCCGTAAACGATCGGGTGTTTTTTTAGCCTTCCGTGAATGAATGACATTGTTGCGCTCCAAGCAACACCATCAAGAAATTCATCAGAGATTTTAATCGGAATGAATTTTTTCAAGACATGTAAACCAATATGAATTTTAAGAAAATATTAAATAATAAAGTATAAACCTTAATTAATTTAATTCATGTTTAAGAAGGACTCCTAGACTATTTAAACGTTATAAAAAGATAAAAATAAAAAGATTTAAATTTAGTGGTTTTTACCTTTCATTCCCTATTATTTTAGTATTTAAAAGTTGACATTCATGTTTTTTCAATGATATAGAGCACATATTCTAATTTTTTAAGATAAGATTACAGAGATTAATTACAAGCCATTGCTCTTGAAGAAGTTGTTCTATAGATTTACCATGAGTTTGAAATCTATTGTTCCATTATAGCTGCTGCAATCAATGTTTATTCTAGTTGCTTCGTTAATGAAAAGTATTCTTTGGCAATTTTCGTCGACTTGCACACAGGTTTGGGCAAAGCATTTGAAAACCACTCCAGCATCTTAACCATGACGTGTACATAAAGGTTTTTGTTGGCGGCATTTGCACCATCACCAGCAGCAGTAAGAATTTGCACATAAAAACCATTTAGGTGGTGGCCAAGTGGTAAGGACTTAGGATCAAGGGATTTGCTCTCTCTGTAGTCTCAGGTTCGAGTCCTTGGTTACTCATATGATGGCCACTAGAGGCTTACATGGTCGTTAACTTCAGGGCCCGTGGGATTAGTCGTGGTGCACGCAAGCTGACCCGGACACCCACATTAATCTAAAAAACAAAGAATGTGCACATAAAACCATCTAGGTGGTAGTCAAGTGATAAAAATTTGAGACTAAGAGGTTTGTTCTCTCTATTGTCTCAGGTTCGAGTTCTTGGCTGCTCATATGATGACCACTGGAGACTTACATGGTCGTTAACTTCAGGGCCCGTGGAATTAGTCGTGGTGCACGCAAGCTGGCCCGGACACTCATGTTAATCTAAAAAAAAAAAAAAGAATATGCACATAAATTAAATGTGCACATAAATGGATATTGAAAAAGTTATTTTTAAAATGTTTTTTATTTAAAAATATATTTAAATAATATTTTTTTATTTTTAAAAATTATTTTTGTTATTAATACATTAAAATAATCTAAAAATCCTAAAAAAAATTATTAATTTAAAACAAATAAAACATAAAAAAATTTAAATTTTTTTAAAATATTTTTAAAATATAAAAACAAACAAGTTTTATTATTAGTCGGATCTTCAATGATGTTCAGTGCAATGACTGCCACCTGCTACGGAGAAGGCATTTTAACTTGATATTATATTCTAGAATTTTTTAAGAGCAACATAAATTATATTTTAAAGATTTTATTTAATGATTTAAGTTATTAAATTAAAATATTAATAAAATTTTGATTTCAGTAGCTTATTTTTTAGATTAAATTTGAAATGATTATATAACAAAAATTCATTAATCATGTAAAGGGGTTTTTTTATTTTACATAAATTGGAAAATATTTTACATATTTTTTTTATATTTTTAATTAATTATATGAAAAATATAATAGTAATAGAATAATGATTAAGTGTTATAATGATATAATGTAATAGGAGTGATGATGATAAAAATGAAATGAAAATGGTAATAGTAACAATGATATTAAAGTAATGATAATGATTATGATAAAAGTAAAATGATAAATAGTAATAATTGTGAAGATTATGATAAAAGTTGAAAGATAAAATGGTGCTGGTGGTGGATACTATGCTAGCAAGATGGGAGTGGTGAAGAGATGGAGTGATGATAGTTGAAATTATTAACAGAAATCAAGAACAAGTTATTAGTTAAAAAATATTTTACAAAATTCTATAAATTCAAATTATTTTTAAAAAATAAGTATAAAGGTTTATCATAAAATATTTTATATTGATTAATTTATGTAATTTTACTAAAATAATCATAGAAAAATTTATTTTTCTATTAAATATTTTACATAAAATAAAAACCCTCTAAATTACTAAATTTGTTTACAATCTACATCACTAAAACTACTCAAGAATAACCGAATGGAGAAAAAGAAAATACTCTTTTTACATTTACATTACTATTTATTTTTGTGTTTTAAAAATTTTAATTTTTTTAATTTTTAATTTATTTTAAATTAATATTTTTATATCATTTTAATAGATTAATATTAAAAATAAATTTTTAAAAATAAAATATTTTTTAAATAAAAAAATACTTTAAAAAATAATTATAATTATATTAAAAAAATAATTTTTTTTAACCAAGAAAAAAAAAAGTTTCGCTTTTATCTTGCTGTGCTTCTCGAACAATTTCCTTTCATTTTCTCAGGTAAAGAGAGTGTTAAAAACAGGTCCCCGGTCACATCCATTGACTTGACTGCCGCTGTGTTTTGTTTTGTGTACATTGAGCCAATAGATTTTTCTTTCGGGACAATTTCGGATAAAAAAATTGCAAATTAATATAATAACAAAAAAAATTTAGTGAAGGGATATATATTTTTAGATTTTATAATTTTGTGATATTTAATTCAATGCTATGTTTTGCATTGTAATATCAATTAATTAATAATCAAAATATTAACTAAATTTAAGATTAATTATATGAATAAGAACTTTTTAAGTTTTTAATTGAAATATATTTTTTATAAATTAAATAAAAAATATATTGTGATTCATAAAATATATTAAAAAATTATAGTTTTTACATAAAATAATTCAACAATTCATATAATTGGATAAATAGAAAAACTAGTTGAACTAAATAATTAATAGTGAGGTTATATGTTATATTGTGGCTCTTTAGAAACGAAGTATGACAACTATTTTATAAAATAACAATAATCCATCAAAAAAATTAAAATAATATTATTGTGCGGTGATAATTTTTTAAGAAAATCTTTTTTCTTCACGAGGACAACTTCAAAGCAACCGAAGTGTCCACCAGAACTCAAATCTGTCAGAAGTGAGAAAAAGAAACACAACAAGAAAGGGGCCTGAACTCTTCAATGGCGACGAGGACAATATTGCCATCAATCTTGGCTACAGCAGTAACATTAACAGTACTTGCAGCATCACTCACCTGGGCTGCTGGCAGCCCTGAAGCTGCTTTTGTCAGAAAGACCATCTCTTCTCATAAGATCGTCATCTTCTCCAAGTCTTATTGCCCGTATGACTCTCTCTCTCTCTCACGGACACCCACATTTTGATGCATTCCATTATGAAAACTCTCGATCTATTTAAGATTAACAAAACCCATTAAAGTTTTGCTTTGATTTTTTTTTTTTGTGGTCTCAACTCTCAAGATCTAATCCAGACTCTTTTCTTCTATTGTTAATTTCCTTGAATTTTTCTCCTTTTTTTTTCTTTTTGTTGATTCTAATTTGTTGTAAACCAGTCTCTCTGGTTTTATGGTATAATCTTGCCTCCTGGACTAGCACCGTTTTGGTCCAGGGCTTGGCATTGTGATTTGTGCACATTTATGATTGATGGAAGAGTTCATGGCATAGGATATGGGATGTTTTCTTGTTTTTATTGAAGTTGCTACCCGTGAAAATGATTATTAGACATTTGCTTCTCTCCTAATCTCAATCACTTCAACCATATATGCAGCGCAACAAAAATGTCATGTTTAGAAGGCCATGAACTTTCAATTCTTCCTCACATTTGCAGAACCTGTAGTTGTTGGTGTTATCAGGAGCGAGTTTTTCGAATTCTTGAGAATAGCTACTCTAGTTTAGTGTCTTTGTTGCCCGTAGGCCTTTATTTGAGTGGAAAATTGGTTTGGTGGATGGGGATTGAGAAATGCTTTGCTGGAAGTCTTGATTGCTTATTGACTTCATGGATCAGATGTTGTGTAATTGTATGAGCCACAAGGAATTGATTGGAAATTCAACCTTTTTTTTCTTTTGTTTTTTTGTTGGAATTATGGAATTTGCTTAGTATGTTGTGAATCCTTTGAAAAGAGAAAAGATGAGAATCATATGGGAATTCAAAGACTTGTATTGCATTCGTGAGTTCTTATGGTGCTTCTTCTGCATATAGGCCGTTGATTTGCTTTTTTGTGGTTTATAAACGCAACTGCATTTGTCATGGAATTCCAGAAAGAAAATTGCTTGTTCTTGAAACCATAAATTTTCTTTTTGCACAACTTCAACTTAAGACAGCTATGGTTTTAATTAAAAATTTTGGGGCATTATTAAATAAAATTTTTAGCCATTTATTATCTACTTTGTTTATTCTGCAGGTATTGTAAGAGGGCTAAAGGTGTTTTCAAAGAACTGAACCAGACACCACATGTTGTCGAGCTCGATCAAAGAGGTCTGTTCCCTGCTACCTCTTCACTAACTTCAATGAGTGCCGAGAACATGACTTAATTGAGTACAGAATCTGAACCTGTTGATAAAAGAATGTGATTGCCTCTAAAGCCTGTCCTGGGAGCAAGAATTAGCAGATAGAATGGCTGTTCTTCAGCGCTTTATATGTGTGTGTGTGTAAATGCTGCTCTCAAGTCTCGAGGCCTTTCTGTTGCAAGACAATGTTATTCACATTGCATAAAGCACGTGTTGCCTATCGACAAGTTGAAAGCTTAACTTGCTGATTGCAAGCTGAACTTTTTGATAGAAATAAGAATCAATTAACTTATCAAAAGAGAAAAGGGGAACCTTGGAGGGAAATGAGAAGAAGAAAGAAATAATTGCTAATCTTGAGTAAATAGGTGGAAAGAAAATTAAGGTAATATGGTGATGGATTTTCTACCCCGTTGTACAAATATCCATTTGCCTTTCATACTGTGTAAATGTATTGCTGGTGGTACTGAAGTGACTGCTGGTCTTTATTTCTGCTCTCACAGTCACAAGCATATTTGCTAGATGTGTTTTCTTCCACTTCTAAATTCTAATGGCTTGATCTTGCACTTTTGGCCCTTAGCAACAAAAAATTAGTTAAGGCTTTCCTCAATATCTTAGTCATAGCAGGTAAGTTACCGATGTTGGAACTTGAGATTTTATTCTATTTGCATATGCCCTATTTGTAAATTATGACCCGAGAGTTAAAGAAAATGGTTGCCCATTGCTTGCAGAGGATGGGCACAACATTCAGGATGCCATGAGTGAAATTGTTGGGAGGCGCACTGTGCCTCAGGTTTTCATCGACGGGAAGCACATTGGTGGCTCAGATGGCAAGTCTTCATTTATTTTTCATTTCTTGTAACAAATATAATCATTTGCCTTCTCTATTTGAAGTACATCATGTAAAAAACTGACTAAAGCTTTGATGTCTTGATAATAGACACCGTGGAAGCATACGAAAGTGGAAAACTTGCTAAGCTTTTAGGAGTTGCTTCAGAGCAGAAAGATGATCTCTAAACTAGAATGAGACTTGGCCTGTGTCGTTGGAATATCTGAACCACTAGTAGACTCATGGTGCATTGATTGGTTAGCTCTTCCTTTGGATGGAGTATGGGGAAGCGAGTTCTTTATGCCCTATGTATTTTGGGTTTTTACATCTCTAAAATAAGATGGCGCATTGATGGAATAACTCTAAAATTTCATTTCCATCAATGGCTTACTCTTTTGTGCTTCACATTCTTAAGAGAATAGTTTAACTTGATTCGGAATGTTTGAATTTCTAAGTGGTCTCATATCACATCTCCCGTTCATTGTTTGAATGAAGTTGCCCCGGCAATTCGAAAGAGGTAACTTCTCAATGGAAGGCCTACTAAGTAAATGAAACCCAATACCACACACACGATTGCCCAGAACTTCGAATCTCTTCCTCTGGAGGTTTATGGTACATCCCAAAGGCTTTCCATAGCAAAAAAGCTGGAAATTGGGGTGACCATACCCTGTATAAAAGCATCAATGATTCCAAACAACAAAACTGGCAGCTCGGGCTTGTTGAAGCATGCAGGCAGTTTAATAGAACCTCATTAGGATTCTCATCTACGCTGATGTTCTGTTCGTGTTCTTCAGCATGCACGGTATGTGTATAGAGTGAACCTCTGCTTCTGGATTTCTTAATGGAAAGTTTCTGGCTTCTAGACCTAGAGCCATCCCTTGAAATGGGCTCATCTCTCTCCACGGCTTTTTGTTTCTTTGAATTAGATTTTTTAGCTTCTTCTTGTGGATGAATTAATTGGGAATAGCTTCTCCTTCTGGATCTTTTATCAGCCCGTCATGACTGCCTGTAATGTTTGAAGATTTAGCTTAGGAACGACATAAATTTAAAGATTAAGCAACAGGTTTATCAATATAATACAATACAATACAATACAATCACAGCTGTTCGTTTACACATAACTTTCACCAGTGCATCTTGGACGATGCGTTCAGACTCAACATCAAGCGCGCTCGAGACTTCATCAAGGAGAATCGTTGGATTCTTCAATATAGCCCTTCTTCAATATACTAATTTTAAAAATAAAAAATAAAAAAATTATTTTCCTTTTCTATTTTCAATAAAATGTATATTTTTTCAAATTTTTTTGACACAATTCTCTTCTAAAAAAAAACAGAGATTTTTTTTTTTATTATTATTTCTAGCACTCCATGAGCTAGGAATGAACATAGAATCATCATGGCTTTTTTCTTGATTTTTTTATTTTGATCTTTCTCTATTTTTTTAACTCTCTTTTCAAATATTTTATTTTTATTTTTCAAATATTTTAAGATAAAAAATCTATATTTTTTACACATTTGACGCAAAAATTGATGGAATCATGACGTAGGGACCATTATTAAGAAAATATCTTGAGGAGAGGAACCTAATCAATTCGGAAAATAAAAGAGGGACCATACTAAGAAACCCCCAAAATTATAGGGATGCAATAAAATCTGATTAATGCCTTCTCTCTTCTCCTTCTTACCACCTCCAAATTCTTTTCACCGAAAAACAATAATTTACCCGAGCTTAATTTCCATAAACACACGAAAGAGTGAGCTAAGAAAAATTGCTAATCTGTAGCAACTGAAAAATGGAAATGGAGGCGCAGCAAGAAAACAGCAAGAAGAGAACCCGCAAAAGAAAAACAACGTCCCTTCTCTCCCTTAACAACACTACAACCATCTTCCCTCTCTTACTAGCCGCAGCAGCCCAACTCTCCAATTCTAAAAAAAACACACCCAACAATAGTTCCGAAATCTTAGTCAAGAAATGCTTAACCAAATTACACCAATCTATCCTTTCGAACAACCAAACATTTCCCATTTCTGTTCTCTCTTTGTTTCCCATCCTCATGAGCTCCAAGTAATTGTTTTGTCTCTCCTTTTTCTTTGGTGCATTTTATCGAACAGTTGGTGGGTGTTGCTAATTTTTGGAAATAATTGTTTTAGGTGTGCTGGAATTGCGTGTCGAAGTGCGGAGATTGTTGGGTTGGCTTCACTGGTGTCATTGGAAATGAATGAACTGGTTGCTTTGGATGAGGGGATAGTGAAAGGATTGATCTTGATGTTAGGGAGTGGAAAAAGGAAAGTTTCAGTGGCTGCTTGTAATGCCCTTTTGGATTTGTCTTCTACTTTGATCGGAAGACGAAGTTTGTTGGAATTCTCAGCCTTAGAATGGTTTATGTGAGTATTTTGAACTATGTTCCTCATTTCCTTTACAAGGGTTTGGTTACATATGTAATTTGGTTTGCTTGATTGCTTTAAAGTGTCCGGATTTTCATTTATGATGTAAAGAAAAATTCTTATCTGTTAATTTACTTAAAAGCTCTTTCTTTTTTTAAACTAAAGACTTTATTGTTTCTGTAAATATTTAGTGTTCAAAATGCGAATATTTCCTCCGGTATAATGACTTAACATCCATTAGTTTTGGATTCCTTCAGGTTCCTGCATCTTCGATAGTGGTTTCTTTATGTAATGAAGATCAGAGAAGTGTTGCCTGTGCCAGGATAGCTTTTAAAGAAGATGGGCATGCAGTTTCAATTCTTCACGCTGCTATTACTTTACTTAATACTTGCAACGAGGAGCAATTGGAAAAGATCCCATGGAAGCTGTCCCAAAAATTCTTGGTTTCTTTGAAAACGTTGTGGGAAAAGGTGCATGATCTGATGTTACTTGGCAATGCTTGGTCATCATGTCGAGATAGGGATTTAAATATGAGCAATGTTACAGTTAACAGCCTGGCAGAAAGTATTTTTAGGTTATCTATTAAGGACAGCGAATTTGTGATTCCTTTGCCATCTGTGTTAGTTGACAGAGTGATCTTCGGTTTGAGTGATCTAGGTTTTGAAAATTTCATGTTACATCACTGGGAATCATCTCCTTCTCTTGTAAGAAGGCTTTCAGGGTCCTTAACTGAGGAAAATGACATTTTAAGCTCATTTGCACAGTCTCTAAACTGTAAAGAACCATGTCCTACCTTTGTTGCATCCATTCTTCAAAGTTTTATTTCATGTGTACCTATTGCTTCAGACGAACTGAACATCATAAGTTTCCTAGAGGAGGTGAGAGGTGAATTGGGCTGTCCTATAATATATGAGCAGGACATACGGGTACTAAGAACAGAGCAGCCTTCAAAAGAAGAGGTTCATTTCTTTCAAAAGAAAGTTGATCCATGCTGCTTTAAGAAACTTGCTTTCAATAACGTGGATATTATGAAATGTGAAGAAGCATTTAAAGAGGGCTATACAATCGCGCTCCGTGGTGTTGAGTTCCGCTTTGCAAGTATTGCAGCTGTTGCAGATGCTTTAGCGTCTTTGTTTGGTCAACCATCAGTAGGTGCCAATATATACTTGACACCACCTAATTCTCAGGGCTTGGCTCGTCACTGTGATGACCACTGTGTGTTTGTATGCCAACTCTTTGGGACTAAGCAATGGACAATCTATCCACGACCAAATTTGCAGCTACCTCGCTTGTATGATCCTTTTGATAGAGAACATTGTCTTGGGGAACAGAATTCTTTAGCTGAATGTAGAAAGTTCCTGTTGAGGGAAGGTGACATCTTGTATATTCCAAGAGGCTTTCCTCATGAGGCATGTACACATGACGATGGTTCTAGTGATTTAGCCAGATTTTCCTTACATGTCACTTTTGGTGTTGAGGTGGAACCTCCATTTGAGTAAGTGAAAGTTCATCCTTGTTTTTTCAATGCAACAGATTTGTTTGGTCCTCCATATTGAAAAAAAGGTCTGCTTAGCAAATTTTATTTCATTTCGAGTCTCTAATTCAGTTAATTTATCAAATTAATGGAGTGGGATTTATTTAGCATGTAATTGCTCACAGCAGGATGGAATTAATCCTCACACCTCTCCCTTAGAAGACAGATACGCTTATGGCCAGTCAATGAATTACTGATTTTATTGGTTGATAATATCTAAGGATATCCTTACCTACATGTTCCCCCAGCAGTTACCTTTTACTGACAAAATCTGCCAAGGGCCATTTATCTGTTGAAGCTCGCTAATAATCTGGTTCTTCAAACTGAATAATAAATTACTCTGTAGGTCCATTCAATGTATGGGTTTGATTCTTTGTAACTTGTGAGCTGGCCTCTGAATGACCAATACACTCAAGAAATATGGCTCTATTAGAAATTATTGATGAATCCTGTGGATTTTGGGAGAGTGTAGTTTTAGTTGTTTAAGGATAAGGATTCTATGGAAGTGTACAACTGTATATGCAGTGATATGGAATCTTTGGATAGCTGAAATTTAAAGGGTCAGTCCTTATCAATGTAGTTATTTGCAAATTGATTGTTTTTCTTCTCTCCTTTTGTCTTTGGATAGCTGAATCTTGTAGTTTTTTATGCAGTAGTAGTATTCATGACTGACACTGTTCCCAAATGAAATGTTTATCGTTAATCCAGGACAGATATTCTACTTGGTGTTGCTTCAGAACAGTTTGGATGAATTGAATCCTGGAATTTCAAACCCTTGCATTGTTTCTGTATTCTAAAAGTTCTAATTGTGTAAATTTTGTGATCCGAGTTTCCAAAATTGGCATGGTTGGGGATTGAAAGATATGGTTATGGATATCTCATTAAAATTGGAATTTGTGATGAAATTAAGATTTGTGGCTATCTATGAGAGCGTTTTTAATGTGTGCCATGCTGTATGTTTCTTAATTGCAGGTGGGAGGGCTTTGCACATGTTGCACTCCATCGCTGGTACAAGACCCAAAAACAGCTGCATGGAGCTTCAGTTGAGCCATTGTCTGGAATTCTGGACCTCATGTCTGTGACTCTGTTGCATCTAATGATTGAATTAATTGGGGCCTCTGATTCTACCTTGCGGAAAGCTTCCTTAGTTGGTGCTCTCGTTTTGCCTTTGGAGATCGACGATTGGTTATATTTGAACCAGAAAACCACTTTCAACCACATAATTGATCAAATTAACAAGGCATCAATGTTCTTGGAAGTTTTCAGGAGTGTGGAATTAGCTATTGGAAAAAATGAAGATCCCTTTCGTCGAATGAGGTGGCTCAGGCTTCTCTATCAGGAGACAGAAACAATTCAAGAACATGATTGGAATGTACCTCTTGGTGAATTTAAAAATTTATTTCCTTCATGTGCTCAACACAAGGACATGACAGAAGCTGCATTCATGCAAGTTAAATCTAAGTTCTGTGATGAAGTGTTATTTGAGGATGTGATTGATGGCTATAAACTACTACTCGAGAAGTATAAGAAAGC